TAGGTGCAGAGGGGAGGCCGCGGGCAGTGCGTGTTGTGTGGGGGGAATCCCAGGTGACAGGAGGACCCCAAGGCCGCGCAGATCCCCGTGGAAGAGAGCAGGAGCCCATGGGAACCTCTGGATGCTCCTGTGCTGGAGCTGGAGCAGGAGCTGAGGCTGCAGCTGGTGGCTGAGGCCAGAACTTGTTGGTGCTGCCCATGCTGACCCTCTGACCTCCTTCAGCCTCAGAAGCCGCCCATTTCCTGCCCTGCACATCAGCCTCTGGGCCCCGAGCCCCAGCCACTACCACCCACAGCAGGCCAGAAGCTTTGGGAAACCAGCTCCCACTTCTAGCTTTGCTGCTGGGACTTTTACAGATGAAGCTGCAGCCTCACATCAGGCACTCGGAAGACATATTTGGTGGAGGAAGGGACGTTTATTTGCCCAGGGGAAGAGTTACTTAATGGTGGGGAAATGGGAGTGGGGAAGTAGTTTCAAACTGCAGGCAGGGACAGGTGCTTGTGGACGCCTGGGTTTCTCCAGCACAGCGACTGGTGCCAGGGAAAACAGCCCGACGCACTGCTGAGCACACTCGTTGTGCCTGGGCACTGCTGTGTCCTGAGGTGCCAGCTCTGTCTGCTCCCACTCGCCAGCTCTCTTCTCCCCAGCACCAGCCTCATGTTGCTCCAGGTCGGCTCTGCTGCTGGCAGCCACCCCGCAGGCACAGCAGGTGGAAGAGCAGCTGCAGGAGCAGCAGGATGAAGCAGTAGCAGGCTCCAAGGCTGTAGCAAGGGATGCGTGCAGCCGTACCTCCCGCTCCTCGCTCTGTGCCTGTGAAAGGAGAGAGGAGAAGTGGCTGCTGGAGACAGCCATCTCCCCCAGAGACCCCTCTGCTGTACCCAGACTGTGCAGGGTGGGCAGGCATTCTGCAGGGGGAATGCAGGAGGAGTCTGTCCAGGCACATGGGCACTCACCTTTGTCAGGATGCCCAGTGGAAACATGCTGCTTGTGCACTGCCAGGCTGATCTGCCCGCTTTGCATTTGCTGTTGGAAGGCAATGCTGTACACCCCGCTGTCACTGAGCTGCAGGTCCCGCAGCAGCAGGGATGCGTTCTCAGGGAAGACCTCAATGCGGTGCCGGTATGGGATGTGAGGGAAATATTGTGCAGAGCATTTCTCGGGAGCTCCTTCAGCATCCAGGGAGCAGTTCAGCACCGTGCAGGTGATGAGCACTTGCGAGCTGTTCCCAAACTTCCACTGAATTGACAGTGGGAAGGGAAAGGAGCTGTTGACTCTGTAGGAGACGGGCAGGAGCACGGACTGCCCCACGGTGCCATTGACCGCATCCTGCGGGATCTCGATGAGAAGAGCCAGGTTTTGCCCTGCAGAGCAGGAGGAGGCAGCTCAGCAGCCATTCAGCCCCGATCTCAGCACCCGGTGCTCTCAGCACCCCATCTCCCACCGCCCCTTGCCCGGCAGCCAGGAGCCCGACGCCGGCCCTTGGCTTCACAGCGGCTGCAGCCTCCAGCGAACCCAGCCCCGACTCACCCAGCAGCAGCAGCAGCAGCAGCAGCAGGAGGGAGCCGAGGCTCCAGCAGCGCCGCCCGCGGCACATCTCCTGCGGCTGCCGTGCTCTCCTGGCCCGGGAGGAAGTCAGCGGCTCTGGCTCAGCCCCTCTGCACCGTTTGGGTTCGCTGCGGGTGGGGGAGACCGGGCTCCTTCCTGTGCGTGTAGGTGCAGAGGGGAGGCCACGGGCAGTACGTGTTGTGTGGGGGGAATCCCAGGTGACAGGAGGACCCCAATGGAAGTGAGCAGGGTGTGAAGCGCACTCCCTTTAAACTGTGAGCACCAAGAACAAGGCTCCATGCTTTAAAAGAGTCGAGGAAAGCATAATGCACTGATAAATAGATAATGGGAATTAATGAGGATTTTTATTTTTAGGAACTATAAATAACATCGGTCTCCACGGGCAGATGAAAGAACCTCTCAGTAGCAAGAGAAAAGCTTCCTCCTTGTAGGCAGAGAGCAAGAGTCAGGCTGTCAATAAGTACAAGGAAAAGACCCAAGAGTCTTCTCCAGAATGGTTGGTCTGAGATGCAAGTCTGGAACCACCAGCTCTGTTTCAAAGCCAGTGGTATGTAGGTGAAATAGAGGGGTTGGTTTGGAGTCCTGATCATATATCTTCGATGATCAGGACCACAGGAGATGGCCTCCATCCTTCTCCATTTATTTCACTGCATGGATTTCTTCCACAATTCAGCCTTCATGAGAGGTGAGGAAGATGCATGGATATGGAAGGTGTGCCTGCCAAGGCAAGGGGGTTGGAAACACAAGCTCTTTAACGTCCCTTCCAATCAAAACTACTCCATGATTCTACAGTTCTATTATATCTCACCTGATGAGAATATTCACATTTTTTAATGAGATTGCCTTGGTTGCTGGCTCCCAGGTAGGAGAAATCAGAGCAGTCTCATCATCAGACCAGGGCTTGGTCTTCTCCATGGAGATCCAACGTGGTGGGAAAGGCTTGGCCCAGGGAGGGATGCACATGGTCATCTCCACAAGGTTCAAGGGCACCTTCAACTCCTGGCAGGAAGACCTGACCAGATCTCCATGGTGATCCCGCATTCAGCATGCAGTACCCACTTCACACCTCTTTTTCTTCCATTACCAATGTCTCTTGGGCAATGACAGTGATTTGCTGTGTCCAGGAGCTGGATATGCAGCACTGGGCTATGATTCTCACTTGGCTGGGTCACTCATCTGGGAAGGAAATGTAGGAAGTTGCAATGGGGGACTTCATAGCCACAGCACTGGCAGCTCAAAGAACAACTCTTCAGTGACAATCAGAAAATTCACACCCCTTCACACCCTCATGGAACCCAGCTCTTTGCTCACAGATTTTCAAGATTCATCACAGGTTTTGGGACTTCCTCCTGCAATTCAGGTTGTGTGTGATCTCCATGGGTTTGGGGTATCCATGCTGGGGGTAACAGGTCCTGCCCCATCTTCACCATTGCAGTGCTTGGGTGGGTACTTTCCAACCACAGCTTTTGCTTAGCTAAAATCACATTGCAGATGCAGACTGTAGCATGACCCTTGCTGTAAGACTTGTTATTTCATTGATGAGAAGCTCAGAAGGAGGAAAATGTGCTCTGCTTAATGCTGCTGAGCACAGCTAGCCAAGAAGGACTGAAGCTCAGTGCTGGGGTGCAGCCAGACCAGGGGATGCTGGATGGGTAAGGATGAATCAGAGGGCTTCACTGGAGAGGATGGAGGGCTGGTGCCAAAGAAGACAGGTGAAAATGATGGTGACAGCGACATTTGCAGCTTACAAGTATGCTTGCAACTTTCAAACCATGTAACAGTTGCAGATACATGTGCAATCTAATTGTATCAAAATTAAATCTGAAAAGCCAAGTAGGAAAAACCCATGTGCATCCTCTGTCCAGCTGATTTGCTGCAGACTTGATGATGCAAAGCCTTGCTCGGGCCTTCAGGCTGTGTTTGGGCAGCTCAGCCAGTGGAGCATGTGAGCTTTTCCATATGAGCTAAACTGGAAGATCTCAAGGGCTTGGGCACACATAATCTGTTAATTCAAGATACAACTAGTTTATTCCTTCCCTAAACCTTTGCAGGAAGATAACTTAGCCCTTTCTTGTATGTCTCTGAAAAAAAAAGCATCAGTATTGGTTCAATGTGTACTTCATATTAACAGGCAGATGAAATCATTTTTGCCAGCTTTCTGCGACATAAAGAAAACAGTGTGAGGAAATGAATGAACAGATGGGTCAAATCCTGTTCCTGTTCACTGTGCTGCACCCAAGGGGTGATTCTCGCTTGGTGAGTGAAGTGACACTCCAAGCTCTGGGAGCTGAGCTTGGCCAATTTTGGGATCAAGCAAAGCTTGTATTTCCCTCTTAATCAAATAATGTTTCATCTGTCTGTGCAAAGGCTTCATCTGCCCCAACAGCTGGAGGGGAGCAGAAGACTTTGCCGATGCAGCAGCCCATCTGCTCAAACGCTTCACCACACAGGCAGCAGCTACTTCCTGTGATGAGATGTGGTGGGATAAGATGCAAAGCCCTTTGTGAGCAGCATCACATCTTTCATCAGGGTGATGTTGACCACAGCCCTCTGCGAGCCCATGCTAACCACAGCACACTCCTGCTTCAGCTTCCTGCCTTGGGCTTGAAGTCGAGAATTGAAGGGCTGACTGCACACACTATGACATGTAAGCACTGGGGGCAGAGCAGAAAACCTGCTGTCCTCTCTCCCCATCTTCTGCATTCCTCTGTTTCCTCAGTAAATGTGCATACAAGCATTTGCTGCAAGCCATCGCAGTATGAAATTCAGACCAAGCCTCAATCAATAGAGCCACCTCTCCTGAGCTTTCAGAGTTCCCCATGAGCTCAGGGAAGACTTTACCACTTTACAACTGCCTGAAAGGATGCTGTAGTGAGGTGGGGGTTGGCCTCTTCCCAGGTAACAGTGATAGGATGAGACGTGATGGCCTCAAGTTGCACCAGGGGAGGTTCAGGTTGGATATTTGGAAGAATTTCTTGTCAGAAAGAGTAGCAAGGCACTGGAACAGACTGCCGAAGGAGGTCACAGAGTCACTGTCCTTGGAGGTGGCCAAGAAACATGAAGATGTGGCATTGAGTGCCATAGGTTAGTGAACATGGTGGGGATGGAGTGAGAGTTGGACTTGGTGATCTTAGAAGTCTTATCCAACCCTAATGATTGTGGCTTCATTCTTCTCACCTGTTTCTTCACGTGTTGCAACCTGTACTAATAATCAATACATATTTTTAATTATATATTAAGAAATGGGAAAAAAAAAAAAAAAAAAAAATCACTCCAGAGATGTGGAGTGTGGAAGGAGAGCATCTGCTTCTTTAGAGGTGTCTGGACAAGGACCCTTTTCAATGCCACACGGGATAATAAGAACAGAAGGAACCCACAAAAAACATACAGGAGCACAAATCAGAGTGGGAACTCATCAGTGGGCTGCTATCAAGGATCACCTAACATCTCCCAGAGCATTTACAGTTCTAGGTCACATACCAACAGAAATCTACAGAGGCCAAAGCTTAGGAGCAGGAAGACCAATCTGGGCTTTGACACTGATGTTAAGTAGGGGAACCACAGTCTGGGAGTGTCTGAGGATGGAGATTGCTGCACAATGGGAGCAGGGAGGAAGGAAGCTGGGGAGGCAGAACAGTGTATAAAAGGGGCAGGCCAGTCCTATTACCTGAGTTATGTCTGGAACTTTAATTGTCACTTAGAATTTATCACTATATTTAGAAGCTGAAGGGAAAAACAAAATTTTGACAGAGAAATAGGTACAACTGTCTTGTGCAGTTGAAGTTTGGGAATAGGTTGGTATCACTCTTCGTGCAGAATTATCCCTTCCTTCCCAAATCATTCCTCTGAGCTTTCCTATTGTAAGCAATTACACTACACCGTGCCATACAATTAACTTGGGTTGTTAAAGGAGGGCTGCCATGCTCTTTAAGTCAAAATGAATTTGTTTTGCTTAATATTAGATCTATGCTTTCAATAGTGAACTGGAAATGGATATTTCCCATTAGCATTAAAATTACATTAAAAGTAATTTCTCTGTCTAATGAGGTCTTCAAAGTTCTAACAGAAAAGAGTGAAGAGAAAAGAGACATGCAGCAAAATTAACAGGTACAAAGGGCCCACTGAAGAGAGACTACTCACACACTGCTGCTCTGAACTACGAAATCAGAGACATCCGTGTTGCTATGGATTACTTAAAAACCTACAGGACATATGTACAGCAAGAGGTGAAGGGAAACATTTCAAAGATAGTTGGTTATTGTAATGCTTACTGTGTAGTCTGCACATTATTTTTTTACATGCTACAAACAGCAGTCCACCCTTCCTGCATGTCTCAGAGGTCAGTGACAAAGAATTTCCCCTCTATCATTTGTCAAAACTGTGGTATCTGATGACTATTAATTTGCTCCCACTTTTTTTTCCCCTGTGACTTCATATTTTTCCACTTCCACAGAAAATCCATTCCTGTCTGTACAAGTTCTCGTTTGAACTAGTGTTGAATTAAGATAGTTGCTAACTGTAATATCTTTTTCAGTTTACTTAGCTGAAGGAGTCTACTAAAATAGTTTGTGTTTTGTATATCCAAAAAGGAAAGAAATGAGCAGATAACAACATAAATGTTTTTCAGCCTAGCTGAGAATTTGAGCATGACAAGTGCAGAAACAAAAGGGATTTTCCAGGAGCAGACCTTGGTTTCACTGAAGGACTGAAGTCTCTTCAGAGCTGAATGATTCCAAGGGGACAAGACTCCAAAAGAGGACACGGGGGAGCACTGCAGGGCAAAAGGAAGCATTAGAAAGGACCAGAGGGCAAGCAGAGATAAATGAAGGTGCACGTGCAATGCAGGAATCTTCAGGTACACAAGGTTAGGGAGAACTGGCCCCTGGGAAACCAATCTGTGAGTCCAGGGACACACATGGGTGGGAACTGAGGGCCTCAGGTTAGATGTTGCCCTCCATCAGCCACCTGATGAGCTCTGGTTTCCCCTAGCCTATGCTTAGATCAGATTCCTTCCTCCTCCCCACACCTTCAAAACCAACCCATTTTTCTCCATGCTCCCTCAAATCCCCTCTGTGTGTCCTCACAACATCTCTGCTCCCTTCACCATCACCTTTAGTACAATGTACATCATGTCCTGCTGCTCTTTAAAAATATTCATTGTCTTGCAGATGTTTGACCAGCAGTCCCTGAGCTTTTCAAGAGAAATGGA